GTGAATCTTTACTCCCCATCTGCCAAGAACCAGCGGTATCCACTGAGAGCCAATGCAGTTCAAAATCTTCTTCTCAATTTCATCTAAGAAGGTGTAGGCTAGACTGTGGTGACCAGCCTTACAAACTGACTTCACCGCAAGCAGCATCGTTTCAGAAATCACATACAAACGTGACATCTCCAAAGCTTTCTTTTCCACCCCTCCTTTACAGGTCTGACTGCAAGCTAAAGCTCTGTTGAAAACTGCTTCTATTTCTTTCAGGAGAAAAGATGCATCCTCTGTGGTCAGCGGGCTGCAGGTACTGTTAAACACAGAAATGGCATCACTCATGTATGCTGAGCTTTTAGAGAAAGCAGGACCTGCAGGTTCAGAGTCAAGCAACAGTAGGAAGCTCCCTGCTTGCAGCTGCAAGTGTAGGTTTTCTTTCAGGCAAGGTAATTTCCTTTCTTTAGCAGCAGAAAGGGCATTCCAAAATACAGAGAAACAGCTCCGTACAAGAACAGTGTAATCCTCTCCAACCTGCAGGTGAGAACAAAAATACCATCAGATCAACAATAAAAACAACTTGGATTTTAGATGCATTGCAGATACAATTATTCAAAAACTGATGCATTGGCAGTAAAAAAAAAAAAAAGCAATCATCACTGCTATGAATGCAAACTTTTGAGTTTTTTTTTTTTTGATGAATTTAACCAGCTTCCTCCTATGTGACGATTACACAATTTGCTGTAGCCGCCTAGAAGCTTCTAGTATAAGGCTAGCTGGATATTTGATATAGGATTGAAGATACACAACATGACATATTTAACAGTTTAGTATGTAAAGCTTTTCTAGCCAGGTTTGGTAGAATTCAACTTTTATCATTTGCGGGAGACCCACATTTAGCAGTCTACAATTTTCCAACATGATTGAGCTCATTCCAGAATCTTAATATTATCCCACGTTGGCTTAAGGCAGTGGTTCCCAAAGTGTGGGGCGCGCCCCCTAGGGGGGGCGCAATGCCATTACAGGGGGGGCGCGGGAAGCGGTATGGATGAATGAAGAAAAAAAAAAAAAAAAAAAAACAGTGCTTGCTTGACTGAGCATAATGGACAGTTGTGACACTGCAACCCAGATTTGAGAAGATCTGCAGCAACAAGCAGGCTCACTACAGCCACTGAAAAGATGGGAGGATTAAAGTACAAAGAAAAAAACTCTCAGGGAGCTGTTCAATGTTTTCACTCCATTTTGCACAGAGGCTTTTTTAATGTATTGATGATAGCAAAGTTAAATATTGTTACAAATAAAAAAAAAGAAATATGTTTAAAATAACACAGACAACAAAGAATCCTCTTCTAATCTACATTATAGAACTATGAAAAAAATACTGTTACACAAAAGTGTTCCACTGTAAAGGTGTAGTTTGTTTTGTTGCAACCTTAAGTGTGAAATAAAGTTCAGTGGAGTTTGAAAACAAAATATGTGTATAGGTTTATTATATCTGGTTAAACAAATTTTTTTGGGGGGGCTGGAAGTTTTATTGTAATCCAAAGGGGGGCCCAAAAGAAAATCTTTGGGAACCACTGGCTTAAGGGCAGATTAGACTTCTGCAACCGCACATATCAAATGTCACTTGCGTCTGGTCGCGAACCAGTTTTGCTGATATGCTTCTGCACCGTCGGTCTGGCATTTCTAGGGAAGCCTATTCGAGAACTTCGGCAGATGGTCACGAGAACTTCGTATTGGCAAAGAACTTGGCATCTTTATATAATTTGTCTGAGGCATCGCACAAGTGGTTGTACTTCCGAAGCTCCTCAGTTTTTAAAAATGGCGCACCACGGCACCTGATCGAGAAGAACGACCAGACAGAGAGCCGGAATGGAATACCAAGGACCAATCACAGGTGCTTTTTGTCTGCACACTTCCGCTTGAGGTCTGCGCCAGTTTGATGCGTCCATTGCGTAGTCAGGATTTTTTTAAGGTGATGGACAGACACACATTTGATGGCTGCAGAGGCTATGTGTCCGAAGCATAAATTGGCCTTTATTCACCATTCTCCACGTTGGAGAAAGGATGTGTGGTTGTGAAATCTGGATCATGACGATATGAATGGGACCCCAGATACAAACGACTGAAGTGACCTTTAGTGGAGAAAGGTCATTTCAGCCGTTCTTCCTTGCTTTTCTTAAGGGTGAAAGGCAAAAAAAAAAAAAAAGAGGAGCCATTTTATCATCAAAAAGTCTACATAACTTGTTGGAGAATAACCTAAACAGGCTAAAAATAAAATGCATCTTTAAAACACTGAACTGTATCAACCATTCAAGTCAAAGATAACTTACAGGCACTGTAGCCCATACATACCTGATGTACCATGGACAATTTATTGTAAAGCAATCCAGCCAAATCACGGGACATACAGTGTGATGCTAGGGACACCAGGTTTTTGACAATATGGAAGAGGATCTTCTCCATATATAATGGACCGCTTTGCGGCACAATCTCAGCAGACTTATAGAAAGCATGAAGAGCCAGCTCAACCAGCCTCACTAACTCGCTGATGTGGTCAAAGTGACAGGATCCAAGCCCAAGCTGGTGGTTACAAGCTCTGAGAATTCTGTCATACATCTGACGTGCATGTTGTCCATGATTACTACTAGTGTATTTCTGGAAAAAAATACAAACAGAGAGTTTAAGAGTCAGAAAAAAGAAGTTACACTCAAACAGAACAGATACTTTTTAAACGTGAGACATAGCTAGGGTCCTTCATTAGAAAAGCTACCAAACTAAAAACATTTGACCGTTATGCCAACCTCCAATTCCTGGTACAACAGCGTCGTCTCTTCAACGGAAGAGGTCCTTTTGATGTACTCTTCCACTTTCAAACACTTCATGTCGACTCCTGTTAAATAGATGAATCAATAGAAGATAACGCATGTCAAACCTTTTTCAAATAATGTGGTAAGCTAATGGCTACGTCGCCAGAATTCATCAACTTCGTTATTGTTCCGGCAGACTACCGTTAACCCGAATTTACCTGAAGCCTTCGATAATGTCGGAAAAAGTTGTCCTCACGACGGAAAGACTTGACATATGCGCCACATAGCAACAGTCTGAAAAGGACTTATCAATATTTTTTCCTGTTGTGTTTGTGTCGCATTACCAAACGGCACCCCGCGCACTGTTTTAAAAGATATTAGCTAACCAATCGCGAAGCAGATCCGGTCTCGTGGTGACGCGTTGAATTATGGGTGTTGAAGTTTTTATTCTAATATATTTTTTTTTTTTTTACGGACCAAACTTATGGAGAAATAAATACATAAATAAATAAATGCTCAATAGATAAATAAGCATAAAATTAATGTCCCCCCAAAATACAATAAACAAATAAATGTAGGTAGAAATTAAATTATACAGTGAGACATAAATGTATATATTTCTTTTAATTAGCTTCTTTATTTATTCGCCTTTGCAAAAAATTACCTTATTTATTTATTTATTTATTTATTGTCCATTACATCTCCCACATCGTCAACTTTATTTATTTATTACTTTTTTTAAAGTATTTATTTATGTGCATGTTATAATATTTTTGTGTTTCTTGTGTTTTGTGTTTTATTCTTCCTTTGTATTTTTTACCCTCTTTTTTTATTTCTTCAACGCTATTTAGTTCTGCTTGTCGTTTTTACATTTCTGTATGCATTTCTGCACGAGTCCGTACTCACGTACTTGTGAATTGAGAAAAGGCCACTGACTTCAGACTCGACTTCAGACTCTCCTCTCCTCCTGTAGATTCGACCGTTGCAGTAAAATGCTAACCCACCAATGAGCAGAAGTTCTCTAAGACACAGCCCTTCCTCATTTGCATGATGAGGCAGAAATGCATACAAAAAATGTAAAAATGACAAGCAGAAATAGTGTTGAAGAAATAAAGAGGTTAAAAAAATACAAAGGAAGAAAAATACAGACAAAAATATTATCACATGCACATAAGTAAATACTTAAAAAAATAAGTTATAAACAAATAAAGTTGAAGATTATAACGGACAATAAATAAATAAGGTAATTATTACAAAGGTCAGTCAGTTCCTACTCCTATTGTAATTGTGTTTTCAAATCTAGATAGTTTGGAATTTAAACAGAATAAAATGCTCATACACTCTTTGAGAAACCCAGAGAGGTCCATAGAAAACCAATATGAACTAAAAATAAAGAGTCCAGCAGGTATCTCTGGCTGATAAACTAGAATCAAAATAAATCATCTTTAACGTGGTTATGAAGCCATAGAAAATAATAAAATATCAAACACCGCAAAAAACATTTATATGTAATGTCATCTGTAGTGTGTACATTAAGTGTAGCTAATCCTAATCCAACCCTCAAACTTCATGAATTTCTGAATGAGTCCTTTGTTACAGATAAAATAAGCAGGTTGACATTTATTTTAAACAAACCAGGAATGCACATGCACTATCCTGGTAGATTATTTGTCTTATTTTAAACACTTAAAAAATGGAAGAATTGATTTAATGTTTCTCTAATTGAATTTATGCTACAACGTCAAACACTATGAAAAGTCTTAAACCATCCCTCCTATGATTATATTTTACTGTAGAGATTGTAATATCCTAATTGATATATCACATGAATGACATACATGAAATTCCAGCAATTTCTATGTAATATTTAGTAATACATAAAAATCACTGGATTATTGAAAAACGGATTTCAGAAAGCATTTATTCAAGGGTCGTTTCGGTGTTCCAACTCTACACTGGTCATGTTGCTCCAATAAGTGATAGAGACCTGGGTAATGTAGGGAACATCCAAACAATTTATTTTCTCAATCTGGGTGCAAAGGCTGCTGCAAACTGTGATGGTTTGGATATAAAAAATACCTGTAAAAATATGATTTTAGCAAAATGTGATAATCAGAACTTTCAAATGCATTTCAAAAACAAAGTGAGTCATCCAAACTGTAAAAGATTAAAGGTGTGTATAATGGAAAAAGCAAAAACAGAGACTTGGAGAATTCAAATTGGTTTTATTTTAACATTTATTTGCATTTAGACAAATGTGAAGGGAGACACACTTTTTATCCCTGAAACTTACTTTAGAAAATCCAAGGGACAAAAGAATTAAATCACCTATTATCATATATGGGAAAACTGTATGAATCTCATATTCACACGGAACCAAATCAGGAGCCAATGAAAAAGATTAAATACCTGAAATTCATACTGGCATTCGAACTATTTAGCAGCTGCATTTCACATTTAATTTATTTAACACTGAGTGTAAATTTTGTAAGGGGTTATGGTTAAACTAAGTCTTTATATTGATTGATTTATTATATTGTACAATCCACAGTTTACAAGGTGCTTTAAAAGGAGTTGAATAACCGACATCCTCTCCAGAGTGGTTGCATAGAAAAGCTACTGAGGAACTAAGCCTCTCTTCTTTATGACGTGTTCCATTGCAGTCCTCTCTGAGGTGTCCAAGTTGATCTTGTACTTGGCCAGGATTTTCAAGAGGGGCCTCAGCCTAAGCCACCACTGGGTCTTTGGAATACGGTGTCTGCAAAGGACAAGCATTGTTCAGTAGAGAAGTGCCAAATGCAAAACATGTAACACATTACAAATGGCAATAAGAGTGCCCTACAAAAGTATTCTTGAACTCTTTTGGATCTTTTTCCTTTTAAACTGCATGCTTTAATTATTATTTTTGTGCATTAATGTGGCAAAATAACATGCATGAAGAGGGAAGGGGGAAAAAAAACTGTAGTTCAACTTCAAAATTGTAACAAGACTTGAAATTTGTTGTTCATATGTGCTCTTTATCCCGTTTGACTGAGCTTAGGCTAATTTGCAAAGAACTGTGCACAAATGGTTGAGTTTTTGAACCAAGATTGTAGAGACCAACCCCAAAAGACTTGTTGATGTACCTAAACCAAAATGTTGCTCAAAAAAGTTATTGAAGAAATACGAATATTACAGATATAAACTTCAGGTTTATATTTCTAAGAGGTTTTGATTTTTTTAAATCTATTATCAATAATGCATCCATCCATAATCAATTAAACAGTGCTTTGCATTAGAATATTACACAGATTTCTGCTAAAACACATTAAGATTTGTGCAACACTAAAAAAAGGAAAATGCAAAGTGGAGTGAACAGTCTTACTCAATATCAGTCTCATCTTTGAGTTCTGCCAAAGGCTGGAACACCAATGCTCTTTTCTTCATTCCCAGCACACAGGCTGAGTCTTTTGAGTTGGCAAAGATGCGACCTAAAGGTTTAATTTAAAAACACCAAATCAACATTTCTGCTAAAAGGCAACAAAATGATCACACACTACTTTATCAAAATACTACAAAAGAACACCAGATGTCAGTCAAATATTGTATGATGTGAAGCACTTAGTTTTCACCATGTCTGTAGCATTCCTTCAGCTTGTCAGTCAACCAAAGGACAGACTTAACTCCCATCTTTGTGCCAAAGTTCCTATCAAAAGGACTGGGCGTTCCACCCTAATTAGAAAAAAAACAAAAACGTAATTTTTTAAAGTGGTTGCTCAGTTATGTGTGCAATAAACAATTAAGAAGTATCAAACCTGCTGCATGTGACCGAGCACATTCTTTCTGCAGTCAAACACGCCCTTCCCCTCCTCTGAATACAGGTTGAAGATGAAATCTGTGGTGTAGTTTGCATTGCATTTCTCATTTCTAAACCAAGAGCAGAATTATAGATTAAATGAAAACCAAATATTCAATAGGAAGGTAAGTAGGATTTTGCATCATTTTAATGTGAATAAACCTCAAAATAAGTCCTCTTTTCACTGTTGTCTTCATCTTTTCCACCAGATGATCCACGTTAATCTATAGACAAACCATTGATTAAACTGATTGAAATACATCTATCTATCTATCTATCTATCTATCTATCTATCTATCTATCTATCTATCTATCTATCTATCTATCTATCTATCTATCTATCTATCTATCTATCTATCTATCTATCTATCTATCTATCTATCTATCTATCTATCTATCTATCTATCTATCTATCTATCTATCTATCTATCTATCTATCTATCTATCTATCTATCTATCTATCTATCTATCTATCTATCTATCTATCTATCTATCTATCTATCTATCTATCTATCTATCTATCTATCTATCTATCTATCTATCTATCTATCTATCTATCTATCATCTATCAATTGTGGATGTTAGTTATTGGGGCAAACCTCCAGGTCATGAATATTAAATGGTTCTTCATAAATGTAGGCTGCATCTGCTCCAGATGCCAACCCAGCCATGGTTGCCAGGTAGCCACAGTATCCCCCCATGGTTTCCACAATAAACACTCTCCTCTTGGTGCCCGCAGCAGACTGCTTGATCCGGTCACAAGTCTGCAGAACACAAAAAGTTAACTGTAAAAAAGCAATTCAGTAAAAAGGCACAATGTTTTGGAAATTATGTTCATATAATCATGTCACTGCTAGGTTTGAAGTTTACCATGGTTATGGTGTTGAGGGCTGTGTCTGCGCCTATGCTGAAGTCCGATCCAGGAACGTTATTAGAGACAGTAGCTGGAACAACAACAAGGGGAATACACAGTTCCTCGTACTTCTCTCTAGCTTCTACCAACTCCAGACCTCCCAGGAATGCCTGTAAAGCAAAAAACCATATTTACAAGGATTACTTTTAGCATGTGCAATACAGGGCAGAAGTTTACACACTCCCTACTATACCCCCCGATACACTGTCATTTCACTTTAACCTGAGTCTTTTATCTAAAACCTTTACAGAACAAACTGGTCTTCTGCAGCCCAAAGGGGATGAAGATTAAATACACTCTCACTAGTATTTAGATACAAAACTTTCAACAAAAACAAATACTTTGTAGCCATTAACAATCTTCTTAAAAAATTATCGTCATGATACCTCACAACTTTTCTTATCACAAATAAACCTCATTTAATTAGTCCTAAGCAACGCAGTGCTGCAAAGGCCTATTGCTATTTGAAAGTTTATTATTATTGTTTCATTAAGAAGACAAGCCATTTTGAAGGTGTAAACACAGATGACCTAATCAGTAGCCTAACATTTTAAAATGTAAGGTTTTCAATAGAAGGACAGCATTAAAACAATATTTGGAATTAGCAACCGTTTAGGTGCCCCTAAAAACAGGAAGTCAATTATTGGCCTAATTACTTCACAGCACCCATTATAATCAATAAAACAATGAGCCCCAAGTGATGCTTTGACTAAGGATTTAGAAGTTTGGCACATAACTTCCCAGGACATACAAACCAAGCCCCATAGAGCCATAGTCCAGACCACACAGGTTGTCGACCATTTTGGATGAAAGCTGCCATTTATGTCTCTTTTACTATCATACCAGCAGCAAAGTCCTACAAGAGCTTTTAAGTTACTGACTTCAAAATGACTCTAGAATAGACTCGAGGCATTGGGGATAAAAAGTTATCAAAACATTTTGGGTGGATCAAATCATTTGTGTGTGGCCATTTCTCAAAATCCTCTTGCCATAAAACCTTATGTTGTAAACATTTCCCCACACAGGGTGGCAACTGTACAAGCCTTCCTGTGTGTCATCTCATACCACCACTCAACACATTATCGAGCTCATTTGCTGACATCACTTTAGCCCCAACCACTAAAAAAATAACATATTTCAGAGATCCTCCTTTTACACTCTCACTCACACTGGTGTCATGATGTGTTTGATGACACAGAACAAGGTGTTGTTTAATATCTGTGAACGGTGACTGTTCGCTGGACAATATGGTGAAGATTAACACATTTTTAGTTGCATGGTTGCCTCTATTTTACATGTGCATGTTCCAATATGAATGATCTTTGGCATTCTACAAACAGCTCATTTAAATGAATTTGGATTTTTACTGAACACAACCCCAGGGATTTTTCAACAGTTATATCTTTCTGATGCATTGTCAGATCTGCAATATATTTTATTTACAGTCTTTTTCCCTCAAAATGTCTGGCCGATTCTGAAGAGAAAGACAAATGACCATTACAGTGACATGCTTCAGAAACAATATGAGTGCAAAGCAGCTTACCTCAAAGCCCCCAATAATGACAAGACCATGGATGTTGAATTTTGTGATATTCAGACTGATCTCCTCCAGGAGATCTTTAGGCAGAGTCCTTCATAACAACAATAACAACATCACAGAAGATCGTTGTGGCCTTAGAAGTGCTTAAGTAAGGCAAACAATGTTTATTTAAGTATAACATTTAGGCTAGTGAAACCTAAATAATCACGTCTGCAGTGAACCAGCTTACCTCTTGGTGCCAAGCATGGAACCACCCTTTCCAGTCCATCCTGCCACTCCAGACCAACCTATTGGCTCAATCTGTGCTCACAGGCAGAACATTTTAACCATAATAAATATAGGCTTTGCACGGTCATGATAAAACAAGATTATGTCTCAATATTATATATAAAACAAAAATATATATACATATTTATATTTTATATATATGTACATATATACATATATATTTTTTGTAGGGTTAAATGCTAGACATTGTTAAAAACATAAAAATGTAGCATTTTGAGCTAAATTTTATACTTTACCATTCCATGTGCCAAGCCATCGAAGCCATCATGCACTGCCAGCATCTGGTGGCCCTGTAGGAGCCCAATCCTGACAGCTGAACGTACAGTAGCATTCATCCCCGCGCATGGAGCACCGATGTTCAGTAAGGCAATGTTGATATTGCTCTGAAATTATATGTATGTAGACATATATAGTTTCTGTGGGAGAATAATAATTTTGACAAAGTTTTCTGACCTACAAATGTATTTTCTAACCTTTGTTTCTGGAGGGTGCACATGGGCTAGCATTTTATAGGTGTTCCAGTTGTTTTCAAAGCTCCTGTTGTCAAATAAGCAAAAAATGAGCATTCATTTGAAACTAAACACATGAGGAGAGAAATGGAAATGGCAGAGCTGGACCTACTTTCCCCTGAGCTTGATAGCATCTTCATACCGCCCCTCATCCATGGCTGTAGTTACATCTTTAGTCTGGTTTGAAAAAAGAATGAATACATTTTGACAAAACAAAACATAGTTTTCCCACACACACACAAAAAAAAAACATTTATAAAGTTTCCAATACCTTTATTTAGTCACATTGCAATGTAAACTTCCTGGCATTTTCTTCAAGATTTTATGATCTAACAACACAAGTTACTGCTTGAATGTGAAGTAAAAAGAAAATAATACATGGTTTAACAACATAAGTTGTTTTATGCTAGTGGAGTGGGCTGTCAACTTTTTTCTTCACTTACTTTTAATGTTCATTATACATTGAGTTAATTTGGGCCTAAACCTAAACTAGACCATTGGAAAACATGGATTTGATGTGAACCATACAAACTATTGTGGTTCTGGCAAAATGTTTAAGATCACTTTCCTACTGGAAGTTAAAACTTTCAAGTGTTTTGCAGCCTTTGACATAAACTTTTCCAGCTTCATCATATATTTGAACCACAGTTCTGTTCCTTTCAAAAACTACCCCACCACTACAGTTCACCATAGATAATTAAGGGCAACACTTAAAGGAAAGAACAATGCACTTCTGGCTCACATTACCTAAAAGTATGTGGTTATAAAATGGCAAAAAGTTAAATGTACTGCCTTTGAATCAGAATCAGAATCAGAAAAGCCTTGTAGAACGCTGATTTCTATCCATTTAGTAATGTATTGCGTTACATATATTACTCACCACTTGTACACATTCCATGAGCGGCAGCCTAACGGCCATGTTACCAGACAAGCTGACCACACAGGCAGGAGTATCTGGTGTGGCTTCAAGCAGAGCCATCACAGACTCCACACCCATCCTGCTTGCCTGAGTTGTAAATATAGAAGAAGAGTGGCTTCAACATAATTGATCAGTGGTATTTAACATGAGTAGATCAACTAGTCTATTGTAGGTTTACCAGAATCCTGTCAAAAGCAGACGGGGTTCCTCCTCTCTGCACATGGCCCAGGATGGTGGTGCGGGTGTCAAAGCCTAGCTGCTTTGATACCAACTGGAAGGAAGCATGGATTATGAATAAGCTGCTTGACATGATTTGTGTCTACATCCTGGTTTGCTGGTGCACTGACCTGTTTTACTGTATCACAGGTGATTGGTTTTCCTTTACGATCTATTGCTCCTTCTGCAACAATGATGATATTCAAACGGGAACCCCGTCCTCTTTGCTAAATTGCAAAATAAAGATTTAGGACTGAAGCCAAATCAAGCATGAATTTCACAACACAGAGCAGGAAATTTACATCTGTCAGTCTTCTACAAAGATGTACTTCCCATCCATCTTCTGGAGGCAGCTCTGGGATGAATACCCAATCAGCACCACAGGCCAGAGCAGTCACCAGGGCAAGATACCTGCAAAACAATTAGGTGGTAATATACTGAGAAGTTACAATGTTGATTGACGTTGTGGTTAGTAGGTAATCATGTCTGCATATCTTCCTCTAAGTATTTTTCACAGTCTGGTTGATGAGCGTAAGTTCTCCAGATTCATTAGGGCAAAGACACTAAATCACCTGCCCTTTCACACAATTCTGTGTCAAAGTTTGCACAGTTTTTTTTTTTAAACACCAACCTTTTGTAGATCAGGGCCACATCATTTTGCATGTAGGTTAAAACAAGTCGTATTTTTGTGATAAATGATTTAATTGAGGAATCCGTCCCAAATTTTGCTTGTCTCCTGCAGTGCTTTAAATAAATTATAGCAGGGGCCGATTTAGGAAATTTGGGGCCCTAGGCAAACACAAGCAGGGAGCCCTCTGAATTGAGAAAACAAAACATAAAACAGACCCTTTATAGAGATACAGAAATATTAATTGAATAGAAATACATTATTTGTTCTATGTTTTATCCCTCTCCTCTTGTCTCTTTTCTTGTTGTTTTCCTTTATATGTTTTGTACTCAGCTGACTTTTCATGCTGTACATAATTAATGTGCACAAATAAGAAATAGTTGTTTTAACCATGTAAACAGAGTTTTGTGAAAGTTAAAATACACTATATTGCCAAAAGTATTTGCTCACCTGCCTTGACTCACATATGAGCTTAAGTGACATCCCGTTCCTAATCCATAGGGTTCAATATGACGTCGGTCCACCCTTTGCAGCTAGAACAGCTTCAACTCTTCTGGGAAGGCTGTCCACAAGGTTTAGGAGTGTGTTTATGGGAATTTTTGACCATTCTTCCAGAAGCGCATTTGTGAGGTCGCACACTGATGTTGGACGAGAAGGCCTGGCTCTCAGTCTCCGCTCTAATTCATCCCAAAGGTGTTCTATCGGGTTGAGGTCAGGACTCTGTGCAGGCCAGTCAAGTTCATCCACACCAGACTCTGTCATCCATGTCTTTATGGACCTTGCTTTGTGCACTGGTGCACAGTCATGTTGGAAGAGGAAGGGGCCAGCTCCAAACTGCTCCCACAAAGTTGGGAGCATGGAATTGTCCAAAATGTCTTGGTATGCTGAAGCATTCAGAGTTCCTTTCACTGGAACTAAGGGGCCAAGCCCAGCTCCTGAAAAACAACCTCACACCATAATCCCCCCTCCACCAAACTTTACACTTGGCACAATGCAGTCAGACAAGTACCGTTCTCCTGGCAACCGCCAAACCCAGACCCGTCCATCAGATTGCCAGATGGAGAAGCGCGATTCGTCACTCCAGAGAACGCGTCTCCACTGCTCTAGAGTCCAGTGGCGGCGTGCTTTACACCACCGCATCCGACGCTTTGCATTGCACTTGGTGATGTATGGCTTGGATGCAGCTGCTCGACCATGGAAACCCATTCCATGAAGCTCTCTGCGCACTGTTCTTGAGCTAATCTGAAGGCCACATGAAGTTTGGAGGTCTGTAGTGATTGACTCTGCAGAAAGTTGGCGACCTCTTCGCACTATGCGCGTCAGCATCCGCTGACCCCGCTCCGTCAGTTTACGTGGCCTACCACTTCGTGGCTGAGTTGCTGTCGTTCCCAAACACTTCCATTTTCTTATAATACAGCTGACAGTTGACTGTGGAATATTTAGGAGCGAGGAAATTTCACGACTGGATTTGTTGCACAGGTGGCATCCTATCACAGTTCCACGCTGGAATTCACTGAGCTCCTGAGAGCGACCCATTCTTTCACAAATGTTTGTAAAAACAGTCTGCATGCCTAGGTGCTTGAATTTATACACCTGTGGCCATGGAAGTGATTGGAACACCTGATTCCAATAATTTGGATGGGTGAGCAAATACTTTTGGCAATATAGTGTACATACAGGTAGGATTTTTCACGCCTTCCGCTTAGCAATGGATTTCTTCTACACACTCTTCTAGAGAAGTCTAATTTTGGGATTGCACTTATATACTGTAAGGTGTCCTATCAACAAATTGTCCTACTTGAGGGGTTTGGATCTTTTCAACCCCTCCAGAGTTATTATTCTTGGTTGCTGCTTATGTGAACATGTTTCTCTCCCATTAGTTTATGTGGACAACCAAAGCTATGTTTGCTATATTTTTTTCATTTTGCAAGGATGGACGAAACAGCACTGCTGGATTTCCCTTTTTGCATTAATAAATTATTTTTTAGATGAATTAATTTTGAATTGAGGAGTTCATGGCTTTATTATTATTATTATTATTATTTTAGTTTAGATGTCTCTATATATCAGGGGTCAATAAAAAAAAAAAACGGTGCAAAGGGGCCCTCAAGGACCACATTAATTTGAAGCAGCCTCAATGATCTGTAATTGTTTTACTTGATATGTTGTTGTTTTTTTTGTACCTGCCATTTAATAATAATAATAAATAATACATTTAATTTATCCTGCACTTTTCACCAAAATTGGATGCCCTAAGCAACTTCTGAAAACAGAACTACTTACCAGTGGTCTGATTTCGAAATATTATTTTATTCTGTTGCTCTTCCTCTTCAATAATTCATAGAGCATTTCATCATATTAATCATGTAGAGCATTTAAGGATATAGAGACTTCAAAATTAAAATATCTAAAAGAAAATTAGAAATTGAGAAAAGAATCAACAAACATATGTTTACTATCTATTTTAGGTGAAGGCTGACCCCTCCAGTTCATAGGTCAATATTGGTAGCGCTTCTTCTGACTTAGTGACCATGAGGTAGTCCTAAAAAGGTTGGTGACCCCTGCGTATCCCTGACCTTTCTGCTTTGTTCCCTGGTCTTAATAATGCTGTTATTCTCTAGCAAACCTTTTTGACCTTCACAGAACAGCTTCACGCACAAACATGTGTTTGTCCATCATATAAAGTATGGCTATGCAGTTGACAAATTGACATTTTACTCCAGTGTTCCTGAAACAAAGAGGATAGCTATACTTACCCACAGTGCCTTCCCATTACCTCCAAGATGAAGGTCCTCTGGTGACTGTACACAAAACATAAACATGTGCCGTCAAAGAATTCAATTTAATCACCTGCTGTTTGTGTGTTTAAATGATTTAAGCCGACATGCATACCTCTGTGCTGTGGTTGTAATGGCATCTACTATTTCAATAATGCGATGCAGGGCACTGTCAGTGCCAATGGTCATATCAGTTCCACAGAAGTCATTGTCAATGGAGCCCACCATGCCAACAATATTGAGGTGGGAAGAGTTCTTTGCTTCAGCTGTTGTGATTTTTCCTGAGATCAGATTAAAAAACATCACATTTTATTTGCATCTTCACAAGATGCTGATGTCACACATTTTTACAACTCTTTGAGGTTAAAGCTCACCTGCTTTAACCAGATCTACCAGCAGGTCTTTCCACTCTGTCCTGAACTGGTTGGCACCTGTGAGACTGCCGTCACCTCCAATAACACACAAGTTGGTGATGCCCAGCTTGACCAAGTTACAGGCCGCCTTGGTGCGACCCTCCTTGGTACGGAAGTCCTGACAGCGGGCACTACCAATCACAGTTCCACCCTGATGTCAGACAGGAAGAAAGGGTTTCAGTCTCAGATGAGAATGACAAGAAGGCACGGAAACAGCTTGGGTGGTAGAATTTGAAACCTGCACGGTCATGTCCCTGAAGTGTTGCTTTCTAATGAACCTTGGCATTTAACTGACTATTTGACCTTCAAAGCTGAACCATGGAGAGTTAAAGCTAAACTGTTAGTATATGTCAGAGACTATATATAGTACACATATTAACATTGCCTGTAAGTGTTTGTTCTTACCAATTGCAGCATCATTGACACACTTTCCCAGGTAGCCGGGCGGATATTGTCTCCCCCGTCAACCAGACCCTGGTAACCCTATCCGGATACAAAACACATCATCATTCAGCAGAGAATTACCTCCTTAAAAGTAGGCTTTTCCTCAGATTTATAGTAGAGGCATGCTTTCATTAAAACAGGTGCTTTAGTCAAACTTATATGAAAGATTTAGACATTGAAGTGATGCCCATGATTAAAAACTATTTCAGACTATTTCCTATTGGTTGTCAGTGTTTTCATAATATTGCACTAAATTGTCTGATTATTTAGATGACTGATTATATCAATTTCAAATTGTTCAGGCCATGGTATTTCTTGTAAGTGACAGAAAAAAAGAAAAGTAGTACACACCTCATGAACAAAGTACACCTTGGCTCCAGTGTACAGACCTACCCGGACAGTTGCTCTCACGGCTGCATTCATTCCTGCATGAACAGAGTGTGTATTATGATTTGAAGGGGTGGATTTAGGAAATTTGGGGCCCTAGGCAAAAACAGGCAGGGGGCCCTCTGAATTGAGAAGACAAAACATAAAACAGACCCATTGTACAGATGCAGAAATTTTAATAGAATAGGCATACATTATTTGTTCTATGTTTTGTCCCTCTCTTCTTTTCCCTTGTTTTACTCTCTATGTTTTGTACTCAGCTGACTTTTCATGCTGTCACAAAAGGAATAAACATTTTTTTCCAAGCACTGAGCTCACTTAGCCAATTGCTCCTTCCTGTGTTTCCAAAAAGGCAGCGGTAAAAGTAAATAACCCAGTCTTTCTTTTCACTGTAGACAAGCCATAATCTGCATATCTGTTCTCCATTTTTCATTTGTATGAAATAATAGCTGCATGAATCATGACAGCAGACAAGATAGAGGAGAGCAGGAGGCGGGGTTATGAATCTACTTGCTCTGGAGTGTAGAGTTCGGTGCTTTTATATGTTGTCACCAAAGTCTCCAGTAGCAGAAAAAAGTCACTAGATTTGGCACTAGGCACTTTTTTGAAATAAAAGTACTAGTGCTGTCAAAATTATCGCGTTATTATCGCGTTAACGCGAGGCCATTTTAACGGCGATAATTTTTTTAACGTGAGATTAACGCTATGTGGTTTTATGGTAAAATTTTCCAAGTACATCCAGCTGCAGCCTGCGGGGAGGCGGGGCTATTTTCCCCCAGTGTATGCATTTCTCATAGGCTTCAAGAGCGGAGCTCCTCAAGGAAAAAAGACGCTCATACACTGGGTGACGCTAGTGCCTTTTCTTTAAGCCCCACCACCAACAAACAAGTTGAGTGTCTGGTAACTAGTAGCAACCTGAAATACGCTGAGAAAACAGATTACTGAGGTGAAATGGAATCTGCTACGGCACTCTTGCTGTCACAGGTCGGTATCGTGTGTGTGTGTGGGTGGGTGTGTCTGTGTGTGGGTGGGTGGGTGCTTGTGTGTGTGTTCTCATTTTTGTTAAGAGTCTGAAAAGTAACTTTCATAGACTACCTCCATCTAGTGATGTCGGTCTATTGATTTTGATGTATTGATTGAAAATTGTTCATTATTATCTTGGTTAATTAACATCTAATGTTAACTGTACTACATTTTATAGCAGTAGGGTAAAATGCTTGTCTTTGTTCAAAAGACTGTATTAACTGTAAAGACTGTCTTTTACATCAGCCTGTTTTCAGGGCCTTTTTTTTGGCTACATATTTGTTATTTTTTGCTACATGCCTCCCCATCTTCTTGCCATATGTTTCTATGGCATAAATCAGTATCTGTGACCTGTTTTCATTTAAAAAAAAGAACATTGGCACAAACCTAGCCTGTATGTATTTTTTGTATGTCATCGAGAGTATTTAAATGATTTTCAATCAGAAAAAAAATTTGCGATTAAAATGCGATTAATCGCGAGTTAACTCAGGCATTGATGCGATTAATCGCGATTAAAAAATTTTAATCGATTGACAGCACTAAAAAGTACTAGAGGGGTCTGAAAAGTTGCTAAATATAGGGACAAAAGCGCTAAGTTCGCAATACTGCATCACTTGTTTTCAAATGGTTTGCTTTGGACTGTTCGGACCTTTTTCCACATGCGTAGCAAATGGACTGATCCAGTGTGGTGGACACTGAAGAGACACAATTAATATTATAAGCGTTCTGATGGCATTTTAGCGAAATTATTATTTTTTTTTATCGAAAACATGATAAAAATGCACAAATAAAGTATAGTTGTATCAACCATACATATAAACAGTTTTATGGGCAACTGCCTAGTATAACCTAATGGTAAATCCCCCCCTGATGATTTGTACTACTCTCTAACAGATCTCTCATTCTTTTGTTAGTCTAAGGTAAACAATTAAAATTATTTTGGTTAAATTCAGTGTGTGTAGTGCTTTGTAAAAGGATTAAACTCATTTGGGGTATGACTACCAGTTCTAACTTTCTGAAAGTTTTGCACATTCTTTGTACAACCCTACTAAAGTTTTGTCACCTTGGAGGAAAAGTACCTGTGGTTTTTAATTTCCAAGACTTAAAATGGCCCATTTTGAAGCCATGGTTGTGTGATTGTTATCCTTATATAGGGTGAACATATTCCCCCATCTTAAGTGTTTAGAAGCTTATCTGGTTCCTATCAAGTTTTTTTTTTATTTTCTGTTCTGCTTTTTTCTGTTCAAGCTTCCCTGTCTTATTTGAAGAAAGTCTCCCACAGCATAATGATGCAACTACTGTGTTTGTCGATATTGAAAAAATGTTCAGGGTGATATGCTGTACTGGATTCTGAATACATTGTGTTTTGGATATAGGCCAAAAACTTCAATATTTGTCTTTCCTGACCAGGGCACCTAGGTGTATGGAAAATTGCAATTATTTCCTTCAAGCACTGAACTGATTATTCACAATTTTTGAAAGGCAACACATTTATGGAGTGCACAATCATTAGTTATCCTGTCACCAGATTCTTCAGCACCTCTTCCAGAGGTTCTATGTACCACTTAGTTGCTCTCTGATTAATGCTCTTCCTGATGACCTTATAATTTTAGCCGCAGTTTGGTTTATTTTGCTGCTGGTTCATGTTGTTTAACAACAGGTCTCATTTTCAAATGATGAGTGGAGCAGAAAAGAGATGTTTAAATGCTTCAATATTGCTTTATAGTCTAAACATACTTCAAATTTCTCCAATAATGACCACTCCATGATTGTTTTTTAGTGGGTTAGGATGATCAAAATATAAATTGCTGTATGTCCTATTTTTCTTCTGCGTCCAAATCATGCACTACATTGTGTTGACACCTCCCAACAAAACACATAAAGGTTTGAAAGATTTTTTAGAGCTTTGAATGTTTCTGTAGCATCAATTTAGATTCCTCATTTTAAAATGTGTGCAAGTAATAAAATGTTCCATGATAAAGTAAAAAAAAACAAAAAAAACATGTTCATTTATGTTCATCTTTAAATCATCATTTTTGTCATTCTCTGTCCTGTAAGCTTCCAAGCTAAGGTTTGAGTTCTCTGGACCTGAGAGTTGTGTTGCACTTGCATGAAATAATTTTAGAATGCTATTTTTAGCTCCTATAAAATGTTTCTGAATACAAAACACAAGATAAAAGCAACAAGTGTCACAAGGCGGTTAGTAACACAACAAGGTGGTGTGAGCCTAAACACAGTTGTCTGAGTGGGGGTTACTTAAAGGACAAGCTCTAGATAGATTAACTTTAAGGGTGCATCTCCTCTTACAGTCAAAGGAGAAGGGGTATAGGAAGGAAGAGCAGATCTGTCTCACAAATGTACACACAGGAACGAAAGGTCGTGCCTCTAAAATTAGCAGTAATGTTTTTTACTTTCCTAGAAAGAAAGAAAATATTTTTCAAGGAAAAATCTGTATTTAAAGAAAAAATGCCATGAAAAAGAGGAGAGGTAAAGGATGTCTGTTCAGATTTTGCATCTTTTATCTCACCGTATTTTTGATTAAGTTCATGTAGTTAACCTAAGATGGAAATCTCAACCTCTCACATGCTCACACATAAGCTGTGAGGGGTCACTGGCAAACCTTTCAAAGGTCATATTGAACATATTCCTCATCAAGTTAAAGGTCAGAAGTCTGCTCTTCACTGTCGTTCTTGCAAATCTTGTCTTTCTTTTACAGTACTTAGCTCTTTGACAGCTGAGAGAAATCGCAAGGGTAATCTATAATAAAAGAGGACCACCTGAACATGGTTATATATTAATTTTTTTGAAGTTCAGTTTATTTTATATATATGTTATTGCTTATTGATATAGAAGCATAAAAGATAAACCAAGATATGACTGACAGATTGAAAATAGTCATATATCGGTAAATGAACTTTAGCTTGGTTGACCACAAGTAATGACATTAGAAGCTCAGCCAAGATCCATTTTCTTACATAACTTAAAATGGGTCAAATGCTCCGGTATCCTGTTTTCCACTCATTTTACCACATTCTGGAAAACCCTCACTTACCCTGGGCATCACCACCAGAAGTCAGCACAGCAATCGCCCGTCCCTCTCCCATCTTAGTGGGGTCGATTTGAACCGTTTGTGCCATGATCCTGGTCCTGGTCTTAGTTCTGGTCCTGGCGTTGGAGCTGGCTGACAGAAAAAGACCCTAACAGTAAATTTCTCTGCAGCCCTGCTGTTCTCTGAAGAGCCCAAGGTGCCTCTGCAGTAACCAGGTCTGCCTGGTATGGAAAGTGAGCACAGTTGCAAAAGTGCCCAGCTTAACTACTCGATTGGCAGACATGTAGGCACACATAGTTGTGACGCATTTAGACACAAACACACATACAGTACAGTACACACTGAGTAAAAGTATTAATCACCTCCACCCTTTCGTATTAAAGTACGAGAGATTTTCTTTTTATTTGAAAAGTTTGTTAACATTAATGGGTACATTTTTACCTCTGAAAAGTTTCAACCTTAAAAATGTTTTTTATAGTACGGTAATGGACGAATTGCATAGATTATTTTTTTTATTTATTTATTTTTTTTTACTATTTCTGGTAAGTTTACTCATTTAGCATTTTGTGCTTTTGCAGATAAATTATTTTACCATTTTGGTATTTAAAAGGATGGCTGTCACAGAACGTCTTGTTCTGACAGTGTGTTGGCTCATACCTGCCCTGTTCAAGTTTTGTATCCTCTCCTATGACATTCAGCTTTCTATATTCTTCTCATGGTCTACTGGAAGGAAACATGATTATAAGACTTTACTACTAATAATAATTTGATCAATAATATTTTTGGTTCACCTCATAAGTTGTACTATTCTGCTCCTTAAGAGTCAAATGGCTAAAATTGCCAGTTAATTAATGTACTACTGTCATATGTACTCCTAATGTAAGATGTATTTGATATTTATTTATGTATTAAATCATTTCATTCTTCTCTACTTTAGAAATATCTTACTGTATTTCATTAACTCATATAATTATCTAATGTCACTCAGCTCCCTTTTTAAAAGTAGCAGACTTGATTGGCAGAAGGTTATTCTTTGATTTAGAAAATTATACATTTTTTATTTTATTTTTTTATTTATTTATCTATTTTTTCTGTAAAGCACATTGGTCAGTTGTGGTTAATTTTAAATATAAAGTATTAATGTATCTGAGGGTTTGATTGTGGTTAGAAACTGCTCTATAAATGAGCAGACAGACAAAACTAAAGTCATATCATTTTCATATCATATTCATATCTTATTATTATTACAGTTGGTTAATTCCTCCATTCTCATTAGATGCCTTTTTTTTTAGAATCTATGGGTCAACAGTTTATTCTTTAAATAGCCTTGAATATATTGCAGTTTCAAACCCTTTTTCTAAAAATTTCAATAATCAGCAAATGGATTTTAAACATATATTTGTCAAAGAGCTTGATTGCAACGGACATTTAAAATTCATAGATCCCAGACACAGATAATGTGTGAGTGGCATCTGATTCAACAAGAAGCTATAGTACGAAAAAGGTCGTGATACTCATTTCTCTATTTAGAAACTGCTTAAAATCCACAGTTGCACATACTTTTATGGTTATTCAGTTCATGTTTTAGTGTGTTGTATTCAGTAGCAAATCTAAGGCATGACCTTCATAATTGTGTGGACAGGCCGTGCACACTTTTTTTTGTGTGTGTGTGCCCCCATGATTATGTAGATCATCTTCTACTGACCAAAACGTGCAAATGTATGTGTGTATTTTATCTTTACAGCTTTATTTTTATTAGTAATATTTTTAAAAAATAAGCCATTGCACTTTTATCTGTAGTCATATTGAGAAAATATCACGATTTTCCTGTATTAGATGTCAGATCTGCAGAGCTGCAAGTTGCTCTTTCTGTGAGAAAACACTGGCCCCACTCTGCCACTCTGTTCAACTACAAACTTCCCGTATTAAGCTCCACCCATTAACCAATCAATTCTGACCTGCTTTCATAGACCTGGTGAAGAAAAGCATCCTGGTACCGCCATGTTTAACTACAGACTAGGGTTAGGATGTAGTTGTTCCAAAAAATAGGGTTCGTTTGGTTTCTTTGTTAGCCTGTATTACCTGAAACTTGTCTATGTCAGATATCGGGTATTACAGGCTAACAAAGAAACCAAACGACCCCCATTCCGAACAGGGCAATTAACCAAAATCAATTAGCACGTTTTCTAAGCCAACAACAAAGCTTTGTTTTTGGTCCACTCTATAAAGCCTCAAACTGAACGCTATTTCTGACATTTTTAATTTGAAAATTTCCTGCGTGGGAAGCGAAACGTCTTTAAACTTGGAAACAAAGTCCAGTGCATTTCTTTTTTTTTTTACTTTTTTGGAATGACTATGATCTGGAATCTACACTAGCATATCTATGAGTTATTATTTTAAATGTCAAAAAAAAATCACTTTTCATCTTATCTCATGAGAACACCTTCATCCACATGTTTGTTACATGCCCTACATGGTCTATGATTAATACTGCTTGACAATAAATTTGATTGAACAGGACAGAGAGGATGTTACATTGAAGAGTCCCTCACACAAAGTTTGTAATTTTTATATGTTTTTATTATTTGCTGGTTTTCACTCTAAATGTTCATATTTTAACCAGAACATTTTTTAATTGTGGGGTGATACATCATTAAAATAATTGGCCTACCACAGTGTTATAGGTCCTTAGTTTTTTTTTTTTTTTTTGAATGGCCTAGTCAAAGTGCAAAAAACTAAGAACCTCTTGTAAGTGGAAAGCTCTGGACATTCTCTATGTGGGGTGACTGTACCTGAGGTATTTTCTGGTCCATGGAGCAAATTGTTGTACAGCAGAGAGAGCAGCAACATAAAATACACATATATAATATACATAAAGTTGCATACATATAAAAGCCTGCATGTATAAAGGAAACAGCTGCTTTGGATGAAGGAAAAGCATAAAATCACTCAAATACAATAATGTATAAAAGCTCCATCTCTATTTGTGCAAAGCTTGTTCAGACATCCACTAAAAGAGCTATAGCTACATACTCACAAGTTCACAAATATTGACTCAATGAAAGCTGGATACAAACACTTGATTCCTCTGAGTTATATTAATAAAACATTTATAAAAATGTTTCTTATTCTCTTGTTTCACATGTGCTAGCTTTGTTTTGGTATATGGCATCAAATGTTATAAAAATGTCAAGCAGAGTGAATACTAGTGCAGGCCATTGTTTTATTTGCAGTCAGAAAGCCCAGACGGCAGTAGATGTCTGTGTCTCGCCTCTTTTAGGCACCTGACCCATCCTGACTGAAATAGACTGTGGCTATCTATAAAACTAAGAGTTGGTCCTCCTCTTCCCCACCACCATCACTATAAAACTGCACAGTCATTCCTGTAACTGAGCATGGTAACATTTACCACATTTGGCTATTTATTATGTCATACCCCAAAATTCCTAATGTATAAAGCATTTTAATAAAAGTAAAACATTTCTTAAATTATTCAGGTAGAAGAAAAAAAAAGATTTTTATTTATTTTATCGATATTTTAAGATAAAGGCATAAAACACATTCATACCAATGACTTACCATGAAATTTATTTCTGAACCATTGCCACAGACCCAACAGCATTGCAAAACAGAGTATTCCCAGGATTGCAGGAGCATCGAGGTGCCTCATCCTCTCAGTGGCTTTCTTGCAGAAAAATTATTGTGGATCTGATCTGTATTAATAGCTTCTATATCACTTCTTCATTGTGGAGTAACAACCCTCATCAGTAAAGCATGCTCAGCATGCAAAAAGAGCCCTTCAGGGTCTGTCACCATCTGCGGGGCTCCGTTTTTTAAACATCAAGTTAAAAAGACAGACAATTTTTTTTTTTTTTTACATTTTAATGAAATTTATGCAGAATGAGACAACATTATACTATGTCTGTTAATACTAATACTGCTAAGGCACAACATTGGTAGGATTTAAAAAAAAACCAAACAAACAAAATTAAACTTAGACAAACAGACATACAACACTTGAACACTTTCTACTATGAATAACTATATATATATATATATATATATATATATATATATATATATATATATATATATATATATATATATATATATATATATATATATATATATATATATATATATATATATATATATATATATATATATATATATATATATTCTGTTTCATCTTCCAGGCTTAAATACTGAATCAGAGCTTATGAGTTTGTGGTTCTCTCCTAGATGAGGCCACAAAAAAAGCTGCTACTGCCATTAATGTTTTGCTTTTCTTTCACACATAAAGTACGCTTGACTTACTAAGTGAGGGTTTTGTGTGTCTGCGCTGTCTTCTGAATCTTCAGTTTGGTTTTGGGATATGACCGCTCACTATGGATGTGGTTAAAGGATTCTTCCTCTCAAAAGTTAGTTTTTCTTTCCAATGCTGGTACATGCAACCTCTATATGAGGTATTGCTAGAAATTCAGTGACAGAATATCATTGATTTTGTAGCAATCTGAGAAATCTGTATTATAGAAGTAACATTGCAAACACCGCAAGATGACCTTTTTTAGCGGTGAATAGCATAAATATATTATAATATGTCGATATAAAGAAGTGGCATATTATGACAATTAGTTTTCATTTATTTCTTAAGGTGTTTCCTGCATTTAAAGTGCTTTGTTTGCTTTCTTCTCTTTTTGACAATTTGAGCTGATGTAACGAGGAAATTTCTCCACTGTGAGACCAATAAAGTTGATCAATAAATCAATTATCTGATTCTTTTTTTCTGTCCAATCACTTGCTTGCATCTGGGATGAACTGCCGATCATTCTTAGAACACATTGTTCAAGAAAATATACTTTGAAAAAAAAGAGAAAAATAAAATAAATAAAAGAGAATTTTTGTTCTTCTTTACCCCATTTGTCATAAATAAAGGTGTGGACACTTCTAATTGACTCCATAAAGTGTTTTTTTTTCTTTCAGTATGTCTAAAGTGTAAATGAACAAATTATTTTTATATAATATTATTTATTGTTTGTCTATTGCTTTCTTTTGTTTCTTTTTTCAGTTTTTTTGTGACAAGTGCTAAAGGACTCACTAAAGGACATTAATCATTGTCATGTTCTTGTTGTATACCTGTAAAAAATCCATAAAAATAAAGTGAAAAAAAAAAAAAGAAAAAAAAGAAATGCTATATTAATCGATGAGCTGAGACAGATCAGTCCTTTTGTTTTAAAACACTTGTTAA